CAGCAACCCATACTTGTCGTAAGAGCGGCTAACGTGGTCGGGTGGTCAGGGTCATTGACTTGGTCGATGCATGTCACCGTACCCTAATTGCGTGGAGGTGCGGTCGGGTAGCCTAGTGGTTAAAGCGTTCTCTCGTCACGCCGAAGACCCGGGTTCGATTCCCGACATGGGTACAATGTGTGAAGCCAATTTCTGATGTCCCCCCGCCGTGATATTGCTGGAATATTGCTAAAAGCGGCGAAAAACCATACTCACTCACTCACTAATTGCGTGGATCGATGCTCATGATGTCAATCACTGGATTGTTTGGTCTACACTCGATTATTTCAGACCGCCGTCATATAGCTGGAATGTTGTGGAGTACAGCGTTAAATAACAAACAAACAAGATGGAATTCTCCATGGAAGCGAGGCGAGTGGGCAGACACTCCCGAATGGGTCACTGTGGGATGTACGAATATTTTACGGGTGCTTCAACAAAACGGACCTTGGACTAAATTCACAGTAACAATTGCAGTCCTTGCCTTTCCTTATTTACAAAATCCCAGTGCATGTATGGAACCGACTGCCATCTTCAGGAAATATCAGTAAACAATACGTGCACGGTCTTACAAGAAGCTTAGCTTGCCTGTCAATGGACGAGTTTCACCTGAGTGGTCAGGAAAGGTTGTGAATACATCAATATCAATCAAAATGTCAACACTTTTGCCCAGGTCTAAACGCATCAACCCTGCTATGTGATCAACAGGTGCTTGTAAATAATGGCCTTCTAAGTGACAGCCGTACAGAAAACAAATACGGAAAGTAAGACAATGTTGGCTTGGCTTCAGCGATTGTTAGATAACTGCTATGTCAACACAGCCATGTAAATATATTAGTCCACATAGACTGTGTGTACTGTCAACCACGGGCTAAACAGGGTGACTTTCGTGACGTGCTGTCTGGTAAGTAGAGAGTCAGTCTTACAAATGTGTATACTACAGCTACACTAAAGAAGTTAAAGAACACCTACTTTTTCATATTACCTATAGTTGACCCGTCATGCCATTGCAATATGAAAGAACCGGGTGTTTCTGAACTTCTTCTGAGTAGTATATATACATTCAAAGGAGCGTTGTAGACAGTGAGTGAGGTAAATAAAGTCGCATCGGTAGTGTTTCAGCCATATCGATACGAGCCGGGGATAGGTACATCCTTTACTGACTGACTGATATAGGAGATTTAACGTGCGCCTTCCGACTGTAGCGTATTTCGCACACGGGCCTGGACGGACCATTTAGTGTATTCCGAAAAGGGTGAAAGTGGTGTGTGCAACCCAAGAGGGGGCTTTTAGGGGTTGCTTATATTGACTTTTTGGAATTTTTAAATTTGGAATAAATGCCGGGGTGGGTGGAGGAGGGAACTAAGGGAGCCGGGTGGGGTGGGTGTTTGTATGTTTATTGTATTTTGGATTGGTAGATTAATGAGTTTTTAGATGCTTTGCACGAATTGCACGTTATATGCCGCGTTGTAATCACGTGGGGTAAAGGAGTCCGGATCCACTGTACCCTTAAAGGGGGGCTATGCTGCCAGTGCCAACCCTCGACCTAGACATTGTCAGAGGTGACACGTGTGAAACTGAGACATTGTCAGCGGTGACAGGTGTGAAACTGTGACATTGTCAGAGGTGACAGGTTTGAAACTGTGACATTGTCAGAGGTGACAGGTTTGAAACTGTGACATTGTCAGAGGTGACAGGTGTGAAACTGTGACATTGTCAGAGGTGAGCATTCCAGGACTGTCAATGACCCGAAGCTCTGTCCCAAGTGAGGGAGGGGGTGAGGGAGGGAGCTGCTTTTAGCCGTATTTTGTTTTGTCACGAAGTGAAAGATTTAATGGGGAGGGAAGTCCAAAGTGGTGCACGATTACCACATAGTGACCAAGGGTCCATGTTGGGGCACGATCAACGGAAGTCATAGGAACAAATGGCTTTCTTACTAAGAAGTATCAGGTGCGTGATTTTGTCAGTAACTTTCCCAATTCCCTTATGTATATACAGCGTTGCTATACAATTTCCTTCTTTATATACAGTGTTGTTATGCAATTCCCTTATTTATATTCAGTGCTGATATGCAATTCCCTTATCTAAATAGTGTTGCTATTAAATTCCCTTATTTAAATAGTGTTGCTATTACTTCGGTATGTGAATCGGATACGGGTATGTGGAACGGTCAGAGCGACATGCGGGTACAGGCAGGTGACGACACAACAACACATACAGAGACCTGGCTATGGATCACTCTTCAATCCTATCTAAATGAGCAATAAATCTAGTGTTTCTAGGCTAGAGAATAGTACAGGGGAATACTCCAGTTACGTGTGATATAAGACGTAAAGCGGCTTTACTACTTACAACATAGGCAGCTGCCTAATGTGCCTCAACCAGTGAGATTTACAACTATTCATGGATTGAGGGTTAGTTACACCAGGATACGTAACAGGGTGTAGTTGTGAGGTGATAGCAGCACAATGGGTTTGATCGTTAATGGACGCAAGTAAATCTGGTTGTATAGCGAGTTGGCTTTAAAAGGAGTTAAAAAATAGTAACATCGAAAAATGTATGGAATGTGAATATGTTTTTATATAATATCCGTGCCAGGCGTTATCGCAGTGCATTATTTGGCATTATAGCGAGTTCTCATGTTAACTGACCATGACGTCATTTACAACACGTGCACAGTTACATTCAACGCCATTTAAAACACGCGTACAGGTACATATAACGTCATTTACAACACGTACACAGTTACATTCAACGCCATTTAAAACACGTGTACATGTACAGGTAACGGCATTTAAAACACGTGGACAGTTACATGTAACGTCATTTACAACACGTACACAGGTACAGGTAACGTCTTTTACATGTGCACAGGTACATGAAACGTCATTTTCAACACGTGTACAGGTACGGGTAACGTCATTTAAAACATGTGTACATGTACATATAACGTCATTTACAACACGTGTACAACATTTAAATATTTGTCCTGTAATCAGACAGTTTTTATAATACAGCAGGATTTATTACTATACTATAGCTATAGGTAAACTTCAGAACTTAGCCAGTGAAATCCGGTAGAACGAAGCCCACTGGGTCAATAGAGCACAACACGACACCACAACCATTTGAACACAGTGGTAGCAAGCGGAAGGACATGTACAGATAATCATGACAAGTGCTTGGTGCTAAAAGCGCCAGGGGTAGCCGATTAATGAAGCCTGAAATTGTAGCTGTGACTCAGTACAGTGACCGAACATGTCACAAATATATGTCCACCGATTGTGCGGTGCTCTATACAAAGCATGGGTTAACAGGCTGTTACTACACGCCGTGAAGAATATGCACAACAATCGCCCTTTGTATACAGGAGCGCTGAGATAACGCTGCCGAAGCATTGACTTTCCGTTAGACGATTGTATGATAAGTTTACCTGACACGCGAGTTCCTGTTGCAGTTCAAATCATTGTGCACCATACGTTTCCTTCCTGTTTTGAAGGTGGCATTTGACATTCAACAGAATATCGAAATGTAATTTGGGTTTAATTTGTTTGTTTGTTGTTTAACGCCGCACTCAGCAATTTTACAGCTATATGACGGCGATCTGTAAATAATCGCGTCTGGACCAGACAATCCAGTGGTTGACGTCATGAGCATCGATCCACGCCGTTGGGATCGATGACAGGCATCAACCAAGTCAGCGAGCCTGACCACCCAATCAAGTTAGTTGCCTCTTACGACAAGAATGGTCGCCTTTTAGGGCAAGCATGGGTTGCTGAAGACCTATTCTATCCCGGATCTTCACTGGCCTATTTGGGTTTAAAGTCGCTGTGAGCAGTATTACATGTCAGATCAAAGAGTGTGGACAATGTCGGGCGCAGGCGTTTTCCTTTCTGGTGAACACTCGGCCGTGGGTATAGCGAAACCAAGGTTCTTAAGAAGGTCTAGTCTTTGAATCAATCAACGGATCCTGACAGCCAAGAGACATTCAGCGTACCTCGGTGGTTTCCGGAATACCACTTAACATGGCTCGGACATCCGGCGTACGTTGATTTATACCCGTTTGACCTCGATAATGTCGTCACTAGTTCTGACACGGGGGTTATCATCGGGTATTGTTAAACGGGTAGACCTCCCTACATTGGGTGTGCATCCATGCAGTGACACCCTTATTCAAGGAGTGTAACAATCAGCAATCAGTAGGTCGGTCCCGCCAAGATCATCGCTCAGTACATAGTCGCCTTAAGTCATCTCAATTTCCAATCTCAGCGTGTGTTCAATAGCATGGCTTCATGCCAGCTTTCAATACATGCGTTCAATACTACGGGGGCGTCTCAACATGTGTATGGGGTTATTGTCGTCTCGGATGTCACGTGACAGGTCCAGTGGGTGAGTGAGTGGACGCAGTTCACGATGTATGGTTAACATCTAGACTGATAATCCATTCCTACTCAGGCAGCTATTACAAAAAAACACACCTGTGCCCAATTACCTGGACATCGATCCTCGCCGTCGACGTACAATTATACACTACTCCAGCCAGACAATCACTATCTTACATAATGGACATTATGTGTCTTTTTAGCAGCCGAATCACTGTTTGTTTTCTGAAACAAGTAAAACTTCCTATACGCACCCGGACCAATCGCTAAGCAACACCCGAGAGCAAACAAACCCCATGTAATCTTCTATTAGCCAAGCTTATTCCTTCTCTTGAGCACTCCTGTTAATTTGGACTAAATGGATAATTATCTATTGACATGGCCCCTGGTCCATGCATTCCTATTGTAACAGTGTATAGATGAACACTAAGATGGCGGGTTAGTATAATCCAATCCGATCACATGCCGAGTTTACATGTTAATGGGTTCTCACAAAGAAAAGTGTTTTATTCGACTTTGGTGTTACCAATCCTTTTGGGGGATTATGGCTCCATAGAAATTCTTCCTGTAACACCCTCCCCGCGTTGTCCACAATAGTGGGATTACCGTGGAAGCACTGCCAGAACCGACAGTATTTGGAGGGTAGATACCGCTTGACTTCGAGTTGAGCAGTCGGGTGTTTAAGTGCTCGTGAAGTGTTGACATAGCTGTTATGGTAACTAGTTTGTACAAGAAAGGTAGGTTAGAAGAAATGTAACATATGTTCGTTTGTTTATGTTTATGAAATTCAGTTATAGTGTGTCTTGTTTTCGAGCTGTGCTGTGTGTATGCTTGTTTTGAGATACCCGTTGTCAGCCGTCGGGGTCGATGTTGTTCGAAATGTGCCTCTGTTCACCTAGCAGTGAATGGGTACCCGGTAGGATGAGATGGCTTGTTGTTAACCTTCTAGCGACTAACAGACAGCTTGGGTGGCGTACTCCCCAGGGAGCTGAAAATGATTGAGTGCACACTGCACCAGTGACCGGAGTAATAATAGCGCTTTGAGCATGCCCCTGTGTGGTGTGGACAATGCGGAAAATAAATTATTATTATTATTATTGTTGTTATGTAACACATGGGTTGTGGTCTACTGCTGTGAAATTGTTCAAATGTGAAATACGCTACACGTGATTTACATCCTTCACCCTAATTGCTATTTTTTTCTTAAAATTGTCTAACTTTGCTCAAACCTAACACCAAAGATACTCGCGACTTGAGATATTTGATATCACAATCATTGATACATATTGGTCGATAACAAGGCGACTATGCTTGTCGTAAGAGGCGACTAACGGGATCTGGTTGCCAGGCTCGCTGACTTGCTGGATGCATGACATCGATCCCATTGGCGTGGATCGTTGCTCATGATGTCAATCACTGGATTGTCTGGTCAATACTCGATTTACAGACCGCCGTCATATAGCTGGAATATAGCAGTGTGCGGCGTAAAACCAACCAACTAACGATTAAAACAATTACTGCTATGCAGTACTCAGATCCTAGACCTGTAAGTTTGGGAGATGTACCGTCGCCATAGATACGTACATTTAATGTCTTTACATGTTACAGAAAACGTAGTTAAGAACTCTTGGACTTGTCTTTACAATGTCAATTACCTGTCGCTGCTTTGCTGTTAGTTACGTGTCATTAGAGTACAAGTCAACGTTTTCATTTCAGCGGTATAAGGGAAATAACTCTAGTGTAACGATGACGTCCGAGTCCTCAGTCAATCCCCCCAGCAGTAAGCTCCCCTGGGGCACAATCCTCAAGCCGAAGTACGGCCTCGGCCACCAGAAGCTGAGCGAGGAAGAGATCGAGGCTGTGGTGGCGAGGTTGAACCAAGTCTCGGAGTCAAAGGAACCGACTTTCAACAGACCGAACAAAAATATGAGTCAAGATGAAATAAATGAAATGGTGAGTAAGAGATCTTAAACTTGAACCATTGTTTTTAGTGACTGATCATTTATTAAAGGGGGGAGCGGTGGATTAACGGGGAGGGATCGAGAAACGACACTGCGAAAGTGAGGCATCGCCAAACTTTAACCACTATGTGTTTGTGTTTGTATAGGGGGTGTGGGGGTGTTTAGGGGCAATGTGGTGGGCATGGTAAAATTGCAGTTCTCTTTATTTCAAATGTTATATTTTTAATAAATTTGAACATTACTTAGGGTTTGGTTATTTATTTTTTGAGTTGAGCCGGGGGGAGATGAAAAAATGTTGCATAAAATAGGGGATGGTTGGTGAAATATGATAGTTCTGAGACTGTCCCCCCCTCCCACCACCCAATAATACATGGGTGAGTGAGTTTAGTTTTACACCGCTTTTAGCAATATTCCAGCAATATCACGGCAGGGGACCCATAATACATGAGGGGCGGTGGGGTAGTCTAGTGGTTAAAGCGTTCCCTCGTCACACCGAAGACCCGGGTTCGATTCCCCATATGGGTACAATGTGTGAAGCCCATCTGTGGTGTCCCCCCACCGTGATATTGCCGGAATATTGCTAAAACCATACTCACTCACTCACTTTCTTCTGGCAACTATAGGTGTTAAACATAGATCTATCGATTGATGTTTATTATTCTTTCTCAACAAAATATTAACACAACATCCCATACAAATACTGAAGTAGCCCCAAAGTGTATTATATCAACCGACTAGCATTTCATCTGTTGTTTCAGCTTGAAAGATTAACCAAAGCTCAGGATATTCCCGACAGTGACCGGCGTGTTGTCAAGTCTATCTACAAAGACATGGGTGTGGTCGCATCGTACGCATGGAAGGGGTTCAACTAGAGGAGACATGGATTGGATGATATACATTCTGGGGAACACACGCCACTTGTGAATGATGTACAACGCACGTATGCGTGAATGGTGTCCGTCATTTCTGAGATGTCTTGTCATGTATTATAAATGAACATTAATTTATTTTCATGTGTGAGTCACTTCACCACCATAAATAAACTACCTACACAATCAGTGTTTTTCTTATGTTGTAAAGGGTGTTATCAGAGTATAGGTCATACTGGATTTACAAACTGGTGCAATGACCATGTGGGGAGCCAGCGCTCTATCACGGAGGGACCTGCTTGTTTGTTGTTTAACGCCCCACTCAGCAATATTCCAGCTACATGATGGCGGTCTGTAAATAATTGACTCTGGACCAGACAATCCATGGATTGACATCATCAGCATTGATCTACGCATTTGGGATAAATGACATGCATCAGTCAAGTCCGAGAGCCTGGCCGCCCGATCCGGTAATCACATGGGTGCTGGAGACCTATTCTGTGTCATATGAGACCATATGGATTTGGTGACTTTGTTTATAGGATATATATATGACACAAGTTTGTCTGCGCAAAGGTAGATTATCGCTAATGACAAAAAACAAAACCTGATGTTATGGAGCGAGGATGTGTCATGAGAAACCTTTACAGACCTACTGGGACATTATTTAATGTTCATGGAGATTTTTACCATTAGTATAGAAAACGTACTGCTTTATGGATAACAACATCTGGTTAATTGCATATAGAGACGTTTTGATGTAGATTCTCACTGCTATCAAGACCAGTCCAGCTTGATAACGGTGTAAGAAACTTTGCTATAAGCTATAAACCAGAAGTTGCTGTCCATAAAGTTTACCTTATTCTACTTACTGACCAACTTCTTGAATGCCAGTCAAACAGTTCTCTCAACATGCGGTGATCATTATGTAACAGACTGGAAGAGTGTTTGAGGTGTGAACATCCAAACTATTTTTCAAGGTTATTATGCATGAAATAGCAACAGATGAACAAAACCTTAATGGTTATATACTTCGACATTTGGATAAGGTTTATTCAAGTTAAGGTGTTATGACAGGGGACACTTCGAGTCCCAGAATCCGACAGCGAGACAAGTGTGGGTACGGGGGTTCTGCCCTGCAATCTCCACAGGGAGACAGAGAGGGTCACTGTAAACCCATTCCGCCCCACAGTCCAAGCATACACACTTGGGACTAGTCCTGCCCCAGAGGCTTGACAGACATGCATATCTGCCCAGCACACTGACACCTGAATCCACTGAGATTCTGTGTCTCTGGTCAGAAGTACAGGTCATGCCGGGAAAGTATGAGGTGAGGTGAAATTGGGTTTAAGGTCGCGTCCAAGATTATTGCACTTATATACCGCCATGCGTGTATGTGTTTGTGTGGCTGCTTGTACTAGTCCGGACTGATGCCAATTTATAGTGCTAGTTCACTGAGATACCATGCCGCAGTTTAACATGAATACCCCACTCAGACACAGTATACTGACTCCGAGCCGTCCAGTCCTTGTTTTAGCCCCTTAATGCCAAGCGCCAGACAGGGTAACAAGTACCATCTTTTAACGTCTTTTGGTATGACGTGGCCGGGGATCAAACCCCGGACCTTCCGCTCTCCGGGCGGACGCTCTACCACTAGACCACGGAGGCGGTCAGGGCAAGTATGAAACATATTCACTATAAACAAGGAAACAACACACCATATTTATAAGTAAGAAAGTATTTAATCCTTCAAGGTGGATGCCCAGGCCTCCGATGAGGGTTCAGCAGGCATGATCCAGCCATCCGGGATACGACTCCCGGCAGGGATGTTGGGTGGTACCAGATGGAGGTCCCACTCATGTCTGCAACACAACAAGCCCAGTTGTACCACAAACCAACATTACATTAATTGTTTGCCTCTGACAGTAGTATCGTGACGAAACATAACACTTTTACAAACTGACAAGTAAGTGAGTAAGTGAGTGAGTGAGTTGGGTTTAACGCCGCTTTTAACAGTATTTCAGTTATATCATGGAATGTCAGCTTTATGTGGGAGGAAAGCCCGAAGTGATTAAGGTCTCAGACGTTTACCACTTTGGTGAAACCCTCGAGCATGGGTATGGTGCTAACAAACCTAGAAACATAATCAGGGAAAAGTAAGGAGTGATTGTTTTGAGGTATTGTGTACCAGTAATACATTGCTGTATTCACCACATATTGTCAAAGGAGGTCCCTTATTAAGACCTGAAACAAGTTCATTTTTCAGGGATCAAGCATTTGTGAACAAACCTACATTCAAACGCTGATGAATCTTAAACATTTTTGATAATAGTTACTAGGTGGGATGAGGCGAAATATTTAACATCGCGTCCAAGATTATTGCACTTATATAGCAACATGCAGGCACACTTATAAATATTACTTACAGACTGGACTAGAAGTTGGTCAGGGGTTAGGTATTGATGCAGGGCGCTTATTACAGTGAATATGGTACATATTCTTTACATTTTGAGCAAATTTTTATAGTGTCTCTACGTTGATCAAACGAAACTGCATGGATATGTTTATAATGCATGTGTCAGTAAGTTAGTTTTAATTAAAACCACAGTGCACAATGTACTACTCAATCAAGTCAAAGAACATCCAATGTTTTCATGACCAGTTATAGCTGTAATACCATGACAGATTGAGTGTAATAATATGAAAGAATCGGGTGTTCTTTAACTTCTTTTGAGCAGTATCTTTCAGTTACTTCCCAGTGTGTCAGACCAAAGGCCGTAACACAGATGAATCTGGGATCAGACCATTCTGCTGAAACCAAACCCCTGGAGCAGTGTACTGACCTGATCTGCACCAGACCATTCTGCTGAAACCAAACCCCTGGAGCAGTGAACTGACCTGATCTGCACCAGACCATTCTGCTGAAACCAAACCCCTGGAGCAGTGTACTGACCTGATCTGCACCAGACCATTCTGCTGAAACCAAACCCCTGGAGCAGTGAACTGACCTGATCTGCACCAGACCATTCTGCTGAAACCAAACCCCTGGAGCAGTGTACTGACCTGATCTGCACCAGTGCTTCTATGCTGTGTTCAGCCTGAGTGTAGTAGCTATAGAAGGGAAATAACTCTGTGTCTTCTGATACAGCAGCTGAAATACAAACAGGTCATTAAACATACAAACAACTAGTTATGTCAAATACTTAGGAATAGCCATCTTCTTAAACGTGGCAATCAATAGAGATGACTCTTAGATGTCAATGAAGAGAAGTGGGTTACCATACTGCACACCAGGCAGTTTGTTTGTTTGTTGTTTAACGCCCCACTCAGTAATATTTCAGCAATATGACGGTGGTCTGTAAATAATCGAGTCTGGACCAGACAATCCAGTGATTGACATCATAAGCATTAATCCACGCAGTTGGGATACGATGCCATGCATCAACCAAGTCAGCAAGCCTGACCCCCCGATCTTGTTAGTCGCCTTTTACGACAAACATGGGCTGAAGACCAATTCTAACCTGGAATCTTCACAGGATCCAGGCAGTCTATATAGCATATAAATCTGATAGCTAGAACTCATTTCGAATTAATTGAAATCATTTTTATGATCTACAGATATACCCAGTCAATATTTTAATGTAAGAATCAGTTTAATCCTTAACTGAACTGAATACCTATTATTAACATAAGAGCAAATTACTGAATAAAAGTAAGAAATATCCTGTACCTAACTTGGGCTGACCTTTAACAATGATCAACATATTATCAGACCACAACAACTTGCCTTTTTTCCCAAACAGTTTTTCCGTAGCAAGTTTCTTGTCTCGCTTCTCCTTGGCAAGTTCCTTCAAGCGTTTAATCTCCTTGTCTCGCTCCATTGTCTCCTCCTCCACTGTATCCAGCATCACCTACAACATGTCAGTCATTGAACTTATCCGTGGCAATGTACGTTTGGACAATGATGTCAGAGGGGACTAGGTCAGACACTTTCACTGTTGAAACATTACTACGATCTACGTCAATGTTACAAAACCAGACAGCACCTTGAGCGTCCTCTCCTCACTCTCGTACACTGTCTGCTGCGTCTCTATCAGTGAGGTCAGCAGCTTCATCTTCTTCTCAAAGTTGTTGTCATACACATCCGAGGCATAGCGGCCTGCAGATAACACAAGATGACGATGAATGTACCACATCACACTGTCAATAACACAAGATGACGATGAATGTACCACATCACACTGTCAATAACACAAGATGACGATGAATGTACCACATCACACTGTCAATAACACAAGATGACGATGTATGTACCACACACTGTCAATAACACAAGATGACGATGAATGTACCACATCACACTGTCAATAACACAAGATGACGATGAATGTACCACATCACACTGTCAATAACACAAGATGACGATGAATGTACCACATCACACTGTCAATAACACAAGATGATGATGAATGTACCACATCACACTGTCAATAACACAAGATGACGATGAATGTACCACATCACACTGTCAATAACACAAGATGATGATGAATGTACCACACACTGTCAATAACACAAGATGACGATATATGTACCACATCACACTGTCAATAACACAAGATGACGATATATGTACCACATCACACTGTCAACAACACAAGATGACGATTTATGTACCACATCACACTGTCAATAACACAAAATGACGATATACAGTCAAGTCCCGTTTATCCGACATCGATGGTTGCATATGATTGTGTCGGATTAACGAGTATGTCGGGTAAACAAAATTTAGTAGTATCAACGTTCGTGATCGAAAATCGGACAACTACACGATAGATAAGGATTCAAACACGTTATAAAAAATATAAAATATATATTCATATTGTTATGTTAAATTGTTGGCGGAATATGTTTTCTAATCATTCAACCTCTAAAGTTTAACACAAAACAACTGTTACGGACTGTTTGACAGATTCAAAATACTTTAAAAAGCATAGTCTGGAATGGAAGTCGCAACTTTGAAACTGGTACCCAAAGCTTAAGAAAGCTGCTTTCTAAGTGGCTAACGCCGACTTCCTGTTGTTCATTCATTGGTAGGTCATAGTTCGCGAAAGGTTGTTCTGACGTGACTTGTAATGGGATGTCCTCGTCGATAGCGAGAACTTGTATCTGATTTTAATAAGATTGAGGTAATCTAAGCATGTGAATTATCCTGTTTTCTTTATTTAAAGCATTAATTGTTTATTGTTAAGCAAGTTTATCGCTGCAGCTTTGTAATATGCAGCTACCAGCCGACTCGCCTCGCATCAAAACACTGGCTGTGTACTCGCGGGCAGATGACCACAGAGTATGCTGATCACTGTGTCGGATTAACGAGACTGATTAATGAGTGATTCCGGTATTTCGTTGCAAATTAGGTGTGTCGGAGTCGGAGTGCGAGACTGTCGGATTAACGGGTCTAAATAGCACTGATTTAATCGGTTCCCATCATTAGTGTCGGATAAAGCCTATTGTCGGATTAACGAGTGTCGGATTAACGAGACTTGACTGTATGTACCACATCACACTGTCAATAACACAAGATGATGATGAATGTACCACATCACACTGTCAATAACACAAGATGATAATGAATGTACCACATCACACTGTCAATAACACAAGATGATGATGAATGTACCACATCACACTGTCAGTAACACAAGATGATGATGAATGTACCACATCACACTGTCAGTAACACAAGATGATGATGAATGTACCACATCACACTGTCAATAACACAAGATGATGATGAATGTACCACATCACACTGTCAATAACACAAGATGATGATGAATGTACCACATCACACTGTCAATAACACAAGATGATGATGAATGTACCACATCACACTGTCAGATTACATTGTGTTTTACCATCTCAGATTGTCAAGATAACAACAAGAATAATTCTATACATTACATATTGGTTGCCATAAGCTGAGCTCATGAAATTTGAAAAGACTTCGACTTCTGCCACCTGGCTCAAGTCTCAGACTTCCCAAAATGTTTACATTGCACATGACATCAAGTTGTCAAATGTTGTCATGGTGTCCTTGGGCAGTCTTTGAAAAAACATTTTGATTGTCTGCACATTAACTTCTCTCTTGGTATTTGGTAGTGCTAATGTATGGACTACATAAGCTGAGCTTACAAAAGCAAATGCAATATATCTCAACTCTGGTTATGGCCTGGTGGCTAGAGGTGAATACTCCTATGTGTGCCTCACACTCACCCTGGTTTATGGCAGCAACTCTCCTGACTTTCCGCAGCTTCTGGAGGGCCTTCAGGAAGTCCTGTGTCTTCTTGGCATCAGAGATCTTCTTCCTGACAGAACTCAGAGTGGCATCAGCTGACTTCTTCAGCTCTTCTTTCTGAAAAATATCAATGATATCATTTGATGTGACTGTGGATGTATTTGAGGAGGACCTGGATGTAACCGATGAGGACCTGGATGTAACTGGGGAGGACCTGGATGTAACTGGGGAGGACCTGGATGTAACTGGAGAGGACCTGGATGTATTTGAGGAGGACCTGAATGTAACTGGGGAGGACCTGGATGTAACTGGGGAGGACCTGGATGTAACTGGGGAGGACCTGGATGTAACTTGGGAGGACCTGGATGCAACTGGAGAGGACCTGGATGTAACTGGGGAGGACCTGGATGTAACTGGGGAGGACCTGGATGTAACTGGGGAGGACCTGGATGTAACTGGGGAAGACCTGGATGTAACTGGGGAGGACCTGGATGTAATTGGGGAGGACCTGGATGCAACTGGGGAGGACCTGGATGTAACTGGGGAGGACCTGGATGTAACTGGGGAGGACCTGAATGCAACTGGGGAGGACCTGGATGTAACCGATGAGGACCTGAATGTAACTGGGGAGGACCTGGACGTAACTGGGGAGGACCTGGATGCAACTGGGGAGGACCTGGATGTAACCGGGGAGGACCTGGATGCAACTGGGGAGGACCTGGATGTAACTGGGGGGGACCTGGATGTAACTGGGGGGGACCTGAATGTAACTGGGGAAGACCTGGATGTAACTGGGGAAGACCTGGATGCAACTGGGGAGGACCTGGATGTAACTGGGGAGGACCTGGATGTAACTGGGGAGGACCTGGATGTAACTGGGGAGGACCTGGATGTAACTGGGAGGGACCTGGATGTAACTGGGGAGGACCTGGATGTAACTGGGGGGGACCTGAATGTAACTGGGGAGGACCTGGATGCAACTGGGGAAGACCTGGATGTAACTGGGGAGGACCTGGATGCAACTGGGGAGGACCTGGAAATAACTGGGGAGGACCTGGATGTAACTGGAGAGGACCTGGATTTAACTTGGGAGGACCTGGACGTAACTGAGGAGGTTGTGGCTGCAACTGGGGAGGACCTTGATGCAACTGTGGAGGACCCAGGATGTTTGTTTGTTTGTTGTTTAACACCGCTTTCTGAAATATTTCAGCTGTATGATGGTGGTCTGTATATAATCAAGTCTGGACCAGACAAACCAGTGATTGACATCATGACCATTGATCTACGCAATTTGGATACGATGACATGAACCATCAAGTCAGCGAGCCTGACCACCCGATCCCGTTAGTCGCCTCTAATGACAAGCATAGTCGCCATTTACGGCTGTCATGGGTTGCTGAAGACCTATTCTAACCTGGATCTTCACGGGTCGACTAGGATGTAACTGAGGAGGACCTGGACGTAACTGAGGAGGACCTGGACGTAACTTGGGAGGACCTGGACGTAACTCTCTCAGCAAATTTGGCTGACAATAATCAATATTTTCAGGTTCAATATTAATTCAGAGGTCAGTTCAGTATCAAAATAAAATTAGGAAAATTGTATCACACCAAATCTACAGATTACAACAACCCCATCATTGTCTTCACCTGTTTCTCATGTTCAGCCTGCTGTGTCATCTTCTCCCTCCATTCCTCCAGCTGCTTATGACGCTGGTCTCGCTTTTCATCTGCTGCCACCTTCATCTCGTACTCCTCCTTCTTGCGTCTCTTTACCCGCATCTGTAACACCAGTCTCAATACAGCCTGATCCACAAAGCGCCCATTGCGCTATGGCATTCGACCCATACAGGGATGTACATGTCTTCATTTTACCAAGCTCCATACAGGGATGTACATGTTCTGATCTTACAAAGCTCCATACAGGGATGTACATGTTCTGATCTTACAAAGTTCCATACAGGGATGTACATATGTCAGGCTATTACCAAGCTCCATACAGGGATGTACATATGTCAGGCATACAGGGATGTACATGTCTTGATCTTACAAAGCTCCATACAGGGACGTTCATATGTATGGCTATTACTGAGCTCCATACAGGGATGTACATATGTCAGGCTATTACCAAGCTCCATACAGGGATGTACATAAGTCAGGCATACAGGGATGTACATGTCTTGATCTTACAAAGCTCCATACAGGGATGTACATATGTCAGGCATACAGGGATGTACATGTCTTGATCTTACAAAGCTCCATACAGGGACGTTCATATGTCAGGCTATTACTGAGCTCCATACAGGGATGTACATGTCTTGATCTTACAAAGCTCCATACAGGGATGTACATATGTCAGGCATACAGGGATGTACATGTCTTGATCTTACAAAGCTCCATACAGGGATGAACATATGTCAGGCTATTACCAAGCTCCATACAGGGATGTACATATGTCAGGCATACAGGGATGTACATGTCTTGATCTTACAAAGCTCCATACAGGGACGTTCATATGTCAGGCTATTACTGAGCTCAATACAGGGATGTACATATGTCAGGCTATTACTGAGCTCCATACAGGGATGAACATATGTCAGGCTATTACCAAGCTCCATACAGGGACGTACATATGTCAGGCATACAGGGATGTACATGTCTTGATCATACAAAGCTCCATACAGGGATGTACATATGTCAGGCTATTACCAAGCTCCATACAGGGATGTACATGTCTTGATCTTACAAAGCTCCATACAGGGATGTATATGTCAGGCTATTACCAAGCTCCATACAGGGATGTACATGTCTTGATCTTACAAAGCTCCATACAGGGATGTATATGTCAGGCTATTACCAAGCTCCATACAGGGATGTACATGTCTTGATCTTACAAAGCTCCATACAGGGATGTACATAAGTCAGGCTATTACCTAGCTCCATACAGGGACGTTAAAGATTTTAGACCATTCATAACCATAATCCATTATTGTTTGTTGCCGTTGCACATGCTGGACACTGTCCCAAATAGGGGTGTGATGCAGCTGAGCTTGTTGATACAGTGAAGTCAATATTCTTACTCAATATGATTACTGAGATCATACACTACATACATTCTAAAACGTGTTCTAGTACAAAAATTAAAACCTATTTCATCATCAGTAGACCATAGGAAACAAAATTTGAACAAAAGCTGTAATGGCTATAATTCTGAAACAGTTCTCAATATTGCTACAATTTTGAACTGAATAAAACATTTCTTATTTGTTCAAGCAGGACTAGCCACACTCTGAGGACTACTGAATTAAGGTGTTTGTTAATAAATTATATTTCTGTCAGTGTTGTCAGTGTGAGCCCACATAAGTTGATTCATGACTAGTTTGTCTGTAGTCAGAGTTGTTCACCAAAATGTTTTGGTATTGACAACATAATCCTGGGTCAAGCACACTGGTCTACAACATACATCAATACTGTGTGTGTGTTAGAGTGAGAAAGAAGCTACTTCTTGTAACCGTTCTTAGGCTCACAAATGATTGTCATACTAACTACAACACTGGCAAGACCATTGTTCAGTTCATTGTCATATCCCTTCTAGTTATAGTGAGTGAGTATGGTTTTTCGCCGCTTTTAGCAATATTCCAGCAATATCACGGCGGGGGACACCAGAAATGGGCTTCACACATTGTACCCATGTCAGGAATCGAACCTGGGTCTTCGGCGTGACGTGCGAACGCTTTAACCACTAGGCTACCCGACCGCCCCACTCCTTGTTATATGTGCTGCAACATGTACAGATATATGTAATATAGGTCTAGCAATTGGGTGGGGTTGCGATGTATGTATCCCGATACTACAGGTGCAATACGCTAGAGGGGACCTAAATGGGGAATGTTATGCTGTTTATAGCCAACTGGGAAATACTAGAGAATCTGCAGATTCTTTTGTTATTCACATGCTTTACGCCATTATAAACTGTAATGTAATGCATCTTTCGTATTGTGATATGGGGGTTGTAAATCTATGTTTTGTATCATGGGCCTTGTATCGGGATACACTACTGTATCGCTGTATCGTTACACCTCTAAAATATAACATAGGATGACCATGATGACCTCAAGATACTTCTTAAACTAAGTGAATTATGGAACAAGATTCGGTCACAGATACAACTGTGAATACTGTCAGTCCTATTTATTTTATTCCAATGGGCTAACATATTTCACAAGCTCAAAAAATGAGAACAAAATATGTACACCAACAACAGTAAGGTGCTAAAGACTCCCGGTGTTTGAGGGTTTAGAAAACCCCTAATTTCAATTCCAAATGAAAAAGATTCCACTATGTACTGGTGTAAGTGGACGAAACATCACCCTGGCCAGTTCTTCCCCAGGGAAGTTATAGTCTCGAATTGAGGTGGGGAAGGGTCACCAAAGGCCAGATCTTCGCCTATCTTGACTCCAACCTCTGTCAGTTCTATCTCATCATGGGCCAGTTCTGTCTCATCATGGGCCAGTTCTATCTCATCATGGGCCAGTTCTATCTCATCATGGGCCAGTTCTGTCTCATCATGGGCCAGTTCTATCTCATCATGGGCCAGTTCTATCTCATCATGGGCCAGTTCTGTCTCATCACGGGCCAGTTCTGTCTCATCACGGGCCAGTTCTATCTCATCATGGGCCAGTTCTATCTCATCATGGGCCAGTTCTATCTCATCATGGGCCAGTTCTTGGCCTAGAATGAACCTTTTCCCCCTAAGATAAATTATAAATTTGAAGCAGTGAAGATCTAGCACATTCCTTCCCCGGGAAGGTTTAGCCATAGCATTTGTTCCCCGGGAAGGTTTAGCCTTCCAACAGTACAACATGGAGAGCTGAGATACTACTTCCCCATTGTGTCTGTCCACGGTACATCCATGGTACATGATAAAGGATACAAACATAAAGGATACAGTAGGTTAGATCAAAAAGTTGTCTCAGTCAAGAGAACAATACTGAAACACAACCAAGACTGAAGCCAGTTAAGTTGACACTTACTGAAAGAAAAAAAATCATAAACATGATAAATCAGGGAATGCTTCAAGATGTCCCAACTTGTTACTTAGTAAACATGACAAACCTTTCTTTCTTTAAATAATTCTCTCAAAATTGTCTTAACCAATGAATAACTCTTCAGTACATTAACTTTGCGACTATGAGGGTAAAACATGACAAGATGTCTCCACTAGAATAGTACAGCATTATCAATAAGATCAGCTATCAACATGATCAATATCACTTGAGAATACAAAGATGAACAATAATGAATACAAGAAACATGTTCATTAAATAGTTATTAGACAAAGTGTCATCAATTTCATCAAATGAAGCTATGAACCTACCCTCTTTCTTCGTCTTGCTTGTGTTTTTGACTTGATAGTTGCCAACATTTCGTCGTTGTTGAGATACTTGTAGACATCCATGCACTTGTCCTGAGTAGAACACAAATCATGGCATCTACACATTTTATTACATTCCAATTTCAAATGGACAAACTTCATTATGCAGAAGTACTCATTACCTACTATTTACTCATGATTTAGTACTTGAAACTGGGAAAGAGTGAGTTGCCTAAGATGAAATAAAGCAAATCCCAACTACACATACACTGCAGTGCCCTGTTCTTACTGCAAGCTGTTAGTCTGGCTATGGCAACAGAGGGCTGACAGCATCGAAGTACAGAGACAATCAAGTTGAATCAACCAAGTCACATATTCCTACAACTTATCAATGTGATAATCTGCTGTTACAGTGGGGTACTGGGGACCTATTCTGCCACCGATTGCCAAAAAACAGCTGATTATCCAGCTCAGAAGACTTTCAATAACTTCATTATTTCAGAATCGAGTTCCATCAATCTTCATGGGTAAATTAAATTTCTAGTACACGAAACACAGATAATTATTTCATCATGCAAATTACTTTCATTACACTTCACCATCCTGACTTACACCAGATACCATGCTTAGTTTGGCCTCTTCTTCATATTCTTATGCCTATTTGGAGTTTACACAATTTTTATTCTTCAAAACCATAATTGTTTGTCAAGACAATAAAGAAAATAATTGAGAAAAAAACATTACATTGTATCTTACTTCCAACAATGTCCAATAAAGTTTGTGATATTATATTGTAAGATCTGTAAACAATGGAAAACCAAATTTTCAGCTATGATGGCGGTCTCTAAAATAATCAAGACTGAACCATACAATCTAGTGATTGACGTATTAAACATTGATCCACGCAATTGGGATAAGATTACATGCATCAACCAAGTCAGCAAGCTTGACCACCCAATCCCGTTAGTCACTTTTTACTACAAGCATAGTCGCCTTTTTTGGCAAGCATGGGTTGTTGAAGACCTATTCTACCCTGGATCTTCACGGGTCCCGACTACTAGCACTACTCTAAGTCAAGAAGTATCATTGTTTTGAATAGCCATGATGACATTGCACTATTAAGGGTCTACCTTATACTCCTCCGTCAGATTCTTCTCTGACTCCCACACCTGGGGGTCAGCTGTGATGGTCAGCGCCTCCAGAGATTGATACTGATGGTGCAGTTTGGCCAAGAGGAGGATGCTCTGATGGAAGGCCTTCTGGACATCTGGGAACTAGTTATTTATGAAATTATCAATTTGACATGAATTATGTTAGCTTTTCTTTGCACGCTTAGGGTATTTACATACCAAATAAGGGAGACAGAGGTACTCTATGAGATGAACATAAAAACATATTTGCTATCAATGTCCATTTCCATAGAATCCCTGAGAAATTTTATTTCAGCATGCGTTAAACATGTTCAATCATCAAGTATTCAATCCCCAAAATAAAACATCCTATTGTTTGATCTTTAAAGTAATCCTATTTATATTTCCTGCAAAATGAAACACTGCTGTTGATATTGGGATGGATATTGCAAGTGTTTCTTGAGAGTAAGTTGGACTTAACATCTCTATGAACAGTAGATCAGTGATATCATTTCAGCTAAGCACATGAAGTATGTGGTACAAACAATCCATATGGATGCATGGTTATGTACCTTGTATTCCACTGTTGATATGTCTGAAGATTTCTTAAGTAATGGCATTGTTTTCAATTTCCCATGTTTCTTTAACCAATTCTGTACCCAATTCTGATCATTTTCTCTTTGATATTTGTCATAGTAAGAGTCAGATTTATCTTCATCATCTGTTAGATACTGCATCATATTGTGACCAGGCATATGGTCATGTTTATTGTTCCTCATGTCCATAGGATCCATTCTGTGCTGTGCTGAATGTACAGGCATCATCCCTGCAGACATGTTACCAGGACCTCTCATATTTGAGGAGGTGACATTTCCATAAGTCATTGGTGGTGGTTGGAATGAATGATAGTTACTGTTTGAACTGTTACTTTTAGGTATGCCATTCTCTCCAATCAAGAAAGGTGGTTGATTAAACCCTGGAGGTGCTGCACTTCGTATATTCATATCAGCTCGTTGATTAAAATCTAATGTCTCGTGAGGCGATTCTCTCACATTGGGAAAGGGCGGTGGCATCCTTGGCCCTAAATCCGATGTGTTAGGAAACTGTAAGTTCGGATTTGACGTTTGAAACATAGCTTGATGTACAGGCTGCCCAGAATGGGGCGGACCCATGATAGTTGGTGGCTGTGCATCAAAAAAGGGGACATCAGGTCCAGCCATCGGCGGTCTCCCCACTGTCATGTTTGGGGGTCCATGCTGGAATACCTGTGAGAAATTCGGTGGTGGCGGAAGGCCAATGTGCTGAACGTGAGGTGCATTTTCATGAGTAAAACCATGGTGAGTGACCTGCACCCCTCTGTGTATATGTGCGTTCAGCTCAGTTTGAGGTATGCCGTGTCGCATACGAGGAGAACTTGATGGAAACATTTTAATGTTACAGCATGAACTCGCTAAAGCTGAGCATTGTTGCAACTGTTCCGTTCTTGCACATGGGCCGCCATTTTGTAGCTGAAAATATCGAAAAGACACACCATATGATAAAACGAATATCACTTTCTGATAGTTAATATATTGCCAAATGTACATCTGCAAAGACTTATAATACGAATAATAAAACATTAAAGTGTATCGTCTGCTAGTTTGTTTGTTATTATCATTAGTTACATGGTCATGTGTTACGCGTTTATTATTCGTTTGTTCAATTGATTTTTAGTTAAACCTGCACTGGTTTTCTAGATTGTAGACGATGTGTCTACAGTTACATTAGACCGAACATAGTTTAGTCGGATTTATTTCAATATCAAAGCAATATCGAAATAAATATTACAAAGATTGTTATATAAAATTTTAGTTTTAGTAGTTACATTTTATTGAAACAAATCATTAAACAATGTCCATGTATACTGTCACGTGATGCAAACAAACAAAATGGCGGATCAAAGAGGGGCACGACTTTTTGCAGACATTAACAGTTGCTTCAGGAGAGATCCATTGATGTATGTTCACCAGATCGTAATTGGCATAATATATTTCCAACATAGTCACGAGTGTTTGAAAAGAATGTCTTAAGAAAACGGAATTTAGATTCTATCCTCCAAAATATATCACCCGTCTCAAATACAACACGCAATCAGCTGATGACATATAGATTGACTTGAGTAGATCTAGATCTATAGGGTGACTAAAGTAACACATCGCTGTCGAAGTTACTACAACTTTTACATACCTAACGTATGTAACATAACAAAAGCGACGATTTTCGGACGCATCACAGTTGCGATTCACACCGCACATACCTCCTTTACAGACTGAGAGATCAGCTGAGAAAGTCCATCGAAAGTATTGTAACTGAATAATCTTATGGATCCATCGTATGGTGAAACTTAAGACATTTTCAAAAGTACTTATTCCTGAGATGCAGAATTTGTTTCTTATAATACTTGGTTGTATCATGGTTGTACAGTCAGGAATGAGGTGATATGTATTTTTTTTACATAAAGTTATGTGGTTCCAAAGACGTATATGGATACGTCTTTCGTGGTTCCAAAGTTTTTGTTGGCTCAAAGTGATGTTTATTCATCAATTATATGGAAAGTGATCATAAAACAACCGGCTTCACAGATCTTGTGTGCCTCTTCGATCCTTAGGGTTAGTGTTAGGTTAGGATAGGTTACATCCAACACTATGCATAGGCCATGGATCCTCTTTCTGATCAAGCATCCCTTTACGATCCTCAGGTTTAGGTAGCCCTTTCCCACAAACACCCCTTTACCAGTCTGATTAAAATCGGACCTTATTTCTCGCTACCTCTAAACAAAGATCTTAGGACATCCTATTACAGGTTATGTCAGAACTACCTTTTGCAAACTTTGACCGACTATTGATGAGCATGTTGAAGTGACTAACAAGAAATCAACATTAGCCAATCAGAAGGCAGCTTGCTCAAGATATACGGCACTAGTTTCTTCCTATTCCAGACTATGCTTTGAAAAATATTTTGATTCAAAATTTGAAAACTGAGCAAAAGAACATTCTGGAATGTCTAATAGATGCTCTCGACTGTATGGCAGTACTTCCCATGGGCTATGCAAAGTCTCTTCCATTCAGATGTTTATCCCACTGAAGAAAGGAGATAGACGATTATTTTAATGGATTCAAACGTACATCCTGTAACTGGCATTCAGAATAGCCCTGAAATTTATGATAACTGCTATGTTCATTGCTACGCAAACTCGATAAACAATACATCAGACTGTATGAGTGAGTAAAAATATAAAGTTCCTTCCTTGATTGGAAGAAATTATTATATAAACATTGTTGCATTAGATTGAGATACTGTGATCAAACTGAAATACTGTTTGAAGCAATTGTAATCCCAACACGCTCACTCATTAGACATGGTAAACTTGACCGTGACAAGGTTGCTTTTGCTGTAAGTAAAATACTGTGAATACAATAGCACTTTAAGGTTGACATTTCTGCCTGTTCTGTGACCTTACTGTTTCTTTCACAGAGATGAATACGACTTCTTGCCAGTGACAGAGCCAAAACACAACAAGAGCCCATTGGTTGTGGTGGAGCACAAGCTAGGCCTAGAGGCATGGTGTGTTAAGATCCTTTTCCGCTACTGCTATGATAGGCTTCTGGACTGGAGAAGCAAAGAGGGACAGGCCAAGTTTGCTCGTGAGTATACACACAGCCTCTGATCGACAGCAATAGAAACTAACTGCTTTAGTCTTCTAGTCCTTATAATGATAACATATAGAAAAACCCTTAGAACCGGCAAATTTCTGCTTGTCCTCATGATAGCTTAACTACTGGGCAGATGGCAAGGACTACAGGACGAGTGCCAATTTCTAATGCTGGATCTATCGATAGGAGTGAGTTGTTGAGAGCAGGGCCAAAATGTTAAGAAAGGCAACCTACCTCGGCTTGGTGACATGACATCTACTTAGCGATAGCATCAGTGCAATCAAACCTATATTACATGATTGTGAGAATTAAATACATAACCATGTGGCATGTATAATGGACAGGTGCTCTCTTTACGAAATATACTGATTGATTGACTGGTGCAATGTGTCATGAAGTACATTGTATGTCTAATTCAAGATTAAACACAAGCTGTGCCATCACCCACTGATCCAGTGATCATGATGTCACTGTTACCCACACCCACTGATCCACTGATCATGATGTCACTGTTACCCACACCCACTGATCCACTGATCATGATGTAACTGTTTCCCACACCCACTGATCCAATGATCATGATGTTACTGTTTCCCACACCCACTGATCCAATGATCATTATGTTACCCACACCCACTGATCCAATGATCATGATGTCACTGTTATCCACACCCACTGATCCAATGACCATGATGTAACTGTTACCCACACCCACTGATCATAATGTCACTGTTACCCACACCCACTGATCCAATGACCATGATGTCACTGTTACCAACACCCACTGATCCAATGATCATGATGTTACTGTTACCCACACCCACTGATCCACTGATCATGATGTCACTGTTACCCACACCCACTGATCCACTGATCATGTTGTCACTGTTACCCACACCCACTGATCCAATGACAAAGATGTTACTGTTACCCACACCCTCTGATCCAATGATCATGATGTAACTGTTACCCACACCCACTGATCCACTGATCATGTTGTCACTGTTACCCACACCCACTGATCCAATGACAAAGATGTTACTGTTACCCACACCCTCTGATCCAATGATCATAATGTAACTGTTACCCACACCCACTGATCCAATGACCATGATGTTACTGTTACCCACACCAACTGATCCAATGATCATGATGTCACTGTTACCCACTGATCCAATGACCATGGTGTCACTGTTACCCACACCCACTGATCCAATGATCATGATGTTACCCACACCCACTGATCCAATGACCATGATGTCACTGTCTCCCACACCCACTGATCCACTGATCATGATGTCACTGTTACCCACACCCACTGATCCACTGATCATGATGTCACTGTTACTGACACCCACTGATCCGCTGATCATGATGTCACTGTTACCAACACCCACTGATCCACTGATCATGATGTCACTGTTACCCACATTCACTGATCCACTGATCATGATGTCACTGTTACCCACACCCACTGATCCACTGATCATGATGTCACTGTTACCCACACCCACTGATCCACCCACTGAGGCACATATGGCAAACTTCACTTGACTTCCCAGCCAAAAATGTAATTGTCATATCATTGCCCAATCGCAGAAGCCTTTAGCCTGTTATGTATGAGAATTGCTATGTTAGTGTAATAATGTACAGGAGACTAAGTTTATTACGAACACGCTTATAACTAACTGACGGATATAGCGAACTTATTTTTAGTCCCGGCCGTTTGATGTATAAATGCTGTATATATGCTGTATATATGCTTATAACGAACTACGGTTATTACGAACTAAAATTAGTGGTCCATTTGAGTTCTTTATAACCGTAGTTTACTGTAATTACAATTCTTTTTAGCTTTAAAGATTCAAACAGCCATACATATTTGCATCCCTACGGACTCACAATGTGAATTATTTGCGTTCATTAACAGTTTGTATAAGTTTAACCCAGGTAGGACATTAAATGAAGCCCTTCTTACAAACAGTGGATCTTGGTAGTTTTGTGTTGTGTTTATCATAGGTAGAGATGTATTCTGCTTCATGCCAACCTCCATCTGAGGCCTTCCCCCATCATGTGAATTTCTTTCCATATTAGAATTAGAAAAACACTTTCAAGGTGTTCAGTCACTCATTGTTCAAGGTTTCCTGCAGTTCTTAGGAGAATTACATTCTTCATCTACATGTGATATTTGTCTCTCACAGATCCTCAGGAAGTTTCTGGTCTGTCAAGAGCTGTTCTTCTTATCCAGCCAGATTGCTACACAGTCTGGAATATTAGGTAACTATGGAAATACTGATATATAGATCTTAAATACTTTCTGTTATCTTCAAACCTATGAGAATATTAGCATGATAAATATATCCTCATGACCAAGAGTTTTCTGTATCACACAGTATTTGTGTAGAAGAAACAAGATGTTCTATATGCTTTTAGAGGACGCCATCACATGGTACACAAAGGCTAGAAGACCTTAAGCTACACTGACCTAGATGCGTAGGTGTGGAACTTCTTTTTCGCACACAACGCATCTTGATTGAACATGGCTTGCAAAACAAAGACGTATGGGCAGCATATTCAAAATATTGAAATGATTATCTGAGATTACTTGATCTTAACATTGCCAATAGTTTGTGGAAGTTATTATTCGTAGTAAAATAGTAATTTAAGATACTATTTTTTTCAGTCATTTCACCAAAATTCTTTTCCGTTATATTATTGGGTATGTTTTAACTTAATCTCCGATAGATTGGGAGACCATGTGTGTACAGCTGATTGCTATTTCCGGCTTAGTTTACGAGACAATACACACGGTAATCTTCAACACTGCATATATATGCCTAGTATAACAAGAAATACAATCGGAATGTTAAATCATCATGTCTTGTGATGTTTAATTACAAATTTCACATTTTCATTGACAAAGTTTGTTATAGCGTCGTTCATTCACCTCAAGCTATACAATGTAGTTTTTTTACCAACAGAAAAAGAGTTTGATGAAAGTGGCACCCATACATAAGCCAACCCCTTGCTACAGGATTTTTTTTCTGGTCCTCAAAATTCAGCTTATCTACGGTCATATACAGTATGATGAAACTCATGAATGTTAATCTGTTGTTCTCTTTGTAGGAAGGACCTTGTGGAGTATGGTGATGTAACAATTGCAGATGACTTGAATTTAGGATCCTTAATTCTGTCTAAACATCCTAAGAGTGCTGAAACATTTATACACAGGTAACTTGGTTGTGGGGATTGTGGAACATAAGGAACATACTGATTCTGCACTTAGGGAACTTGTTTCACCATGCCTAACTTTCCAACTTAACATTCTCCATTCTCTCTTTTGACAGTTGATATTGCTGAAGCAATTTTATGCAGGACATGAGCAAAATTTTGCATATTTCCCATATGGAATCGGTAAAATACACTGCAGTAATTTAAATTGTGAATTAGAAGGTGGTTCTCAATATAACTAATTTTGCATTTTAGCATGTGAATTAATTGTTTTCGTATTTCTGTCTTACTTCAGATATTCCGGTTTTGAATCCAACTTTTGTATTGAAGCACATGTCTCACAGTTTTATGCTGGGACTGTCTGTTCACTAATCATGGATAAATTTGTCAAAAATATCTTTAATTCATAAAACAATAGTCTTGTAGAACTGCATGAAATTTGCTTGCAGAATTCAACAAATTCACCTGCAGTATATTGATTGGGGGGAGGTGGGGGCGGGGTGGAGGGGGAATTCAGCATAGACTTCACACTGATATTTCTCACTACTCATTTGGTCACACTACATGTCTCCCAGGCGATGGCTGCTACACAAGCTTCTCAACCAGTGTCTTGCCTCCAGTAACGACAGCAACACCAGTAACAACAGTTGCCAGCAAGATGGCTGTGTCAACATGGACGCTATTGGCGTGGACCTCCTGCCCCAGGTGGACAACCACGCCCACAACAACCACATGCTGCAGGTGGCCGTGGACAGGGATGTGCAGGGACAGATGCAGCAGGAGCTGAGTGTGTGCCGGCGTGCGGCGGACCGCTACCCCTGTAACTACCATGCATGGAGCCATCGGATCTGGACCCTGCAGCACTGCTATAATTGTTCAATACGGGTATGTGATCCATGCTCTGATACCAGTTGAATTTGGGCTGGCTAAAACGATCGATAATCGGAATTATCGTCAATGGGAAGAAATATTAACGAATTTCGTTATGAAATTGTCATGGATAGTAACTTACATAATTTATTGTGGTGAAATAAAGTTTAGATTGTCGGTAATGTCAATTGTCGAAGACGGAAAGCAACTGTTTTTGTTATATGTCATATGTCCACAGAGTAATCTATATATGTGATATCAGGGTAGTGGGCTCAATTAGTCTGGAATTAGCTTTTCAGGAGGGAAATTCTTTGTTTGTTAATTTATAGGGAAAGTCTACAGCTGAAGTAAAGATCAGTGGTGTGAGAGTGTTACTGATGCAGTTTGGGATGCAGACAGGGCTCTCTTTATTGGATTGATATTTTGGATCATGCTGCTAATAGAAATCGGTGCTTTTGAGATGCTTTCAGTATATAAGTTACTTATGCTGGTTAAATAAGGTTGCCAGAAAACTTTCAACAAGACTTAAAATCTGAAACCATAAAAATAATGAGTCCATTCTTTGAGCAGTGCCATAAGCACCTTCAAGCAGTGAAAGAGAGCTCAAAAAGTTATGCTTTTGATCATTTACAAAGATCTGACAGGGAGAATATCTGATCTTATAATGTATGCTAAGATGTGCCATGACTTTGAGCACCATGAAGATGTCTTGTGTAGAGACTGCCTCCGTGGCCTAGTGGATAGGGCATGGGCCTGGAAAGCGGAAGGTCGGTGGCCTTGTCTTTACCCTGCCTGGTGCTCGGTATTAGGAGGATAAAAGAAGGACTGGTCCACATGTCCACAAGCAAACACATGCACGCACACACACACACGCACGCGTACACACATACAAACATGCCCTCACATGCAACACACACCCTCACGCACACATGCACACACACACACACACACACCCTCATGCACACAACACACTCATGCAAACATGCACACACTCACTCGCGCACGCACACACACACACACATACACCCTCACACACACACACACACACCCTCATGCACACAACACACTCATGCAAACATGCACACACTCACTCGCGCACGCACACACACACACACATACACCCTCACACACACACACACACACACTCTCACACTCACACACACACTCACAACACACGTACACCCTCACAAATACACATACACGCACGCACGCACGCACACACACATACACCACACACACACACACACACACTCACACACTCACACCTCACCTTGACATGAGTGTGGGTGAGATGTTTGCGTACTGCTGATTACCTGTATGATCTCCCTCTCCATCCCGGCCTACAGGTCCTTCTAGCAGAGCTCCATGCAACACAGTCCTGGGCTGCTAACCACATCTCCGATCACAGTGGCTTCCACTACCGCCAGTTTATCCTCAACCAGCTGCTCCAGCAGGCCGACATGCTCAGGGACAAGTTCTGTACTGACGCCCACAACCTCCTAGAGAGGGAACTGGAGCTCATCCTTGATCTCATCAACTCCTACCCCGGTCATGAAGCTCTCTGGTATCACAGGTAATGTCTAATGTCCTTGATCTCATCAACTCCTACCCCCGGTCATGAAGCTCTCTGGTATCACAGGTAATGTCCTTGATCTCATCAACTCTAACCCCTGTCATGAAGGTCTCGGATATAATGTCCCTGATCTCATCAACTCCTACCCCGGTCATGAAGCTCTCTGGTATCACAGGTAATGTCCTTGATCTCATCAACTCCTGCCCTGGTCATGAAGCTCTCTGGTATCACAGGTAATGTCTAATGTCCTTGATCTCATCAACTCCTACCCCCGGTCATGAAGCTCTCTGGTATCACAGGTAATGTCCTTGATCTCATCAACTCTAACCCCTGTCATGAAGGTCTCGGATATAATGTCCCTGATCTCATCAACTCCTACCCCGGTCATGAAGCTCTCTGGTATCACAGGTAATGTCCTTGATCTCATCAACTCTACCCCCGGTCATGAAGCTCTCTGGTATCACAGGTAATGTCCTTGATCTCATCAACTCTAACCCCTGTCATGAAGGTCTCGGATATAATGTCCTTGATCTCATCAACTCCTACCGCGGTCATGAAGCTCTCAGGTATCACAGGTAATGTCCTTGATCTCATCAACTCCTACCGCGGTCATGAAGCTCTCTGGTATCACAGGTAATGTCCTTGATCTCATCAACTCCTACCTCGGTCATGAAGCTCTCTGGCGTAATGTCCTTGATCTCATCAACTCCTACCGCGGTCATGAAGCTCTCAGGTATCACAGGTAATGTCCTTGATCTCATCAACTCTAACCCCTGTCATGAAGCTCTCAGGTATCACAGGTAATGTCCTTGATCTCATCAACTCTAACCCCTGTCATGAAGCTCTCTGGTATCACAGGTAATGTCCTTGATCTCATCAACTCCTACCCCGGTCATGAAGCTCTCTGGTATCACAGGTAATGTCCTTGATCTCATCAACTCCTGCCCTGGTCATGAAGCTCTCTGGTATCACAGGTAATGTCTCATGTCCTTGATCTCATCAACTCTAACCCTGGTCATGAAGCTCTCTGGTATCACAGGTAATGTCCTTGATCTCATCAACTCTAACCCCTGTCATGAAGCTCTCAGGTATCACAGGTAATGTCCTTGATCTCATCAACTCTAACCCCTGTCATGAAGCTCTCTGGTATCACAGGTAATGTCCTTGATCTCATCAACTCTAACCCCTGTCATGAAGCTCTCTGGTATCACAGGTAATGTCCTTGATCTCATCAACTCCTACCCCGGTCATGAAGCTCTCTGGTATCACAGGTAATGTCCTTGATCTCATCAACTCTAACCCCTGTCATGAAGCTCTCTGGTATCACAGGTAATGTCCTTGATCTCATCAACTCCTACCCCGGTCATGAAGCTCTCTGGTATCACAGGTAATGTCCTTGATCTCATCAACTCCTACCCCGGTCATGAAGCTCTCTGGTATCACAGGTAATGTCCTTGATCTCATCAACTCCTGCCCTGGTCATGAAGCTCTCTGGTATCACAGGTAATGTCTAATGTCCTTGATCTCATCAACTCTAACCCCGGTCATGAAGCTCTCTGGTATCACAGGTAATGTCTAATGTCCTTGATCTCATCAACTCTAACCCCGGTCATGAAGCTCTCTGGTATCACAGGTAATGTCCTTGATCTCATCAACTCTAGCCCCTATCATGAAGGTCTCGGATATAATGTCCCTGATCTCATCAACTCCTACCCCTGTCATGAAGCTCTCTGGTATCACAGGTAATGTCCTTGATCTCATCAACTCCTGCCCGGTCATGAAGCTCTCTGGTATCACAGGTAATGTCTAATGTCCTTGATCTCATCAACTCCTACCCCCGGTCATGAAGCTCTCTGGTATCACAGGTAATGTCCTTGATCTCATCAACTCTAACCCCTGTCATGAAGGTCTCGGATATAATGTCCCTGATCTCATCAACTCCTACCCCGGTCATGAAGCTCTCTGGTATCACAGGTAATGTCCTTGATCTCATCAACTCCTACCCCCGGTCATGAAGCTCTCAGGTATCACAGATAATGTCCTTGATCACATCAACTCCTACCCTGGTCATGAAGCTCTCTGGTATCACAGGTAATGTCCTTGATCTCATCAACTCCTACCCCCGGTCATGAAGCTCTCTGGTATCACAGGTAATGTCTAATGTCCTTGATCTCATCAACTCCTACCCCCGGTCATGAAGCTCTCTGGTATCACAGATAATGTCCCTGATCTCATCAACTCCTACCCCGGTCATGAAGCTCTCTGGTATCACAGGTAATGTCCTTGATCTCATCAACTCCTACCCCGGTCATGAAGGTCTATCACATCTAATGTCTTTGATCTCATCAACTCCAAACCCGGTCATGAAGCTCTCTGGTATCACAGGTAATGTCCTTGATCTCATCAACTCCTACCCCAGTCATGAAGGTCTATCACATCTAATGTCTTTGATCTCATCAACTCCTACCGCGGTCATGAAGCTCACTGGTGTAATGTCCTTGATCTCATCAACTCCTACCCCGGTCATGAAGCTCTCTGGTATCACAGGTAATGTCCTTGATCTCATCAACTCCTACCCCGGTCATGAAGGTCTATCACATCTAATGTCTTTGATCTCATCAACTCCTACCGCGGTCATGAAGCTCTCTGGTGTAATGTCCTTGATCTCATCAACTCCTACCCCGGTCATGAAGCTCTCTGGTATCACAGGTAATGTCCTTGATCTCATCAACTCCTACCTCGGTCATGAAGTTCTCTGGTGTAATGTCCTTGATCTCATCAACTCCTACCCCGGTCATGAAGTTCTCTGGTGTAATGTCCTTGATCTCATCAACTCCTACCCCGGTCATGATGGTCTCTGGTGTAATGTCCTTGATCTCATCAACTCCTACCTCAGTCATGAAGGTCTATCACATGTAATGTCCTTGATCCCATCAACTCCTACCCCGGTCATGAAGGTCTATCACATGTAATGTCCTTGATCTCATCAACTCCTACCTCAGTCATGAAGCTCTCTGGTGTAATGTCCTTGATCTCATCAACTCCTACCCCGGTCATGAAGCTCTCTGGTATCACATCTAATGTCCTTGATGTCATCAACTCCTACCTCGGTCATGAAGGTCTATCACTTGTAATGTCCTTGATCCCATCAACTCCTACCCCGGTCATGAAGGTCTATCACATGTAATGTCCTTGATCCCATCAATTCCTACCTCGGTCATGAAGCTCTCTGGTGTAATGTCCTTGATCTCATCAACTCCTACCTCAGTCATGAAGTTCTCTGGTGTAATGTCCTTGATCTCATCAACTCCTACCCCGGTCATGAAGTTCTCTGGTGTAATGTCCTTGATCTCATCAACTCCTACCCTGGTCATGATGGTCTCTGGTGTAATGTCCTTGATCTCATCAACTCCTACCCTGGTCATGATGGTCTCTGGTGTAATGTCCTTGATCTCATCAACTCCTACCCCGGTCATGAAGTTCTCTGGTGTAATATCCTTGATCTCATCAACTCCTACCCCGGTCATGAAGCTCTCTGGTGTAATGTCCTTGATCTCATCAACTCCTACCCCGGTCATGATGGTCTCTGGTGTAATGTCCTTGATCTCATCAACTCATTTCTGCCTAATTGACAATGCTGAAATGTTAATGTTGTACCCATCATTATCTGTATTTAAATATAGGCTGTCTATGAAAGGGTTTGTTTGAAGTCCATCACTTTTTGTCAAAGTTCTCATCCTGGACTGGTTCCAATCATCATGACTTTGTACTAAGTATTTAATCAGTGTTACAATCCAGAAACCAACTTAACAATTTTCAAATACTTGTGAAGGATATCTTTTCAAAGAACTCAATAATCATAATACTTGGTGCCATGAATATTTTGGTGTGTGCAGCATACCACAATGCTGCTTCAGCACTTTTCCCGGTACTTAAAGCCCCACCCTGACTACAAATAGTCTGCAAGGTGGTGGTTTTTCAGTTTCAAACAATGACTGACAATGTTAACACAACAAGTGTCAGGAGAAGCTTTTTGAAAACCATAAGCAAACAAGATCACCATTGACCATCAAACTTCATATCAACTTGAATGACAAACCCTGGATTCCACAAATGGCTCCATATCTAGATATAAGTCAATAAATTTTTCTGTAGTTTCATCATTAAAAATCTAATCGATCATGTTTGGCGTCGGCATCAATCACAGTGGGCGGAGCTTATTTACGGTTGGGCTATAAATAGCAAAGCACATGGTCGTAGAAGCTCCGCTTACTCAGAGTGCGGTAGTTCCTACCGCAGATGCCCCTTTAAGTAAATGTTAGTTACAGTTTCCTGGGGAACCATTGATTCTCTTTCAGAAAATTCGTCTTCCATTCGCTGCATCATTCCCTGAGTAAGACTGTCAAGAGCTCCTCCCACTCCCAGCATACCTCCTTGCTTGACAAGAACGGAAGCTTGTGTTCCCATGACAACCACGGAACCTCATACACAGACGAGCATAAAGGCCAGAAGAAGTTCAAGTCTGAGAACAACGAGCAACAAGGGCTGGTTCTGAGGGAGCTTGACTCTGTATCACACAAGACAGCCCCAGACTCTCACACGAATCACCTAGCAACACGCTATAAAGAATGGATTCAACAATGTTTTAGTCATTAGAAATGTGTTATGGAATAATATATACTTTTTAACTTAATCTTATGCATTGATTGGAAAATGAAGTTACAGTGATATTAAAGGGTGTGAAGGGTATGGCTTGTATTAGGGAATTGTTGAAATCATTCTGTGATGTTTGTATTGCTCTGTACATGCGATGCTGTGGAAATATTCCGAGGAATTATATGCTTCTTGGCATTGGTAGAGAAATTTCGTATCGAATATGTGAAGTGAATCCGATTAATGGCAGATACATCAGTGCCATCAATAGCTCTGAGTTAATGTTGTCATTAAGGTTAAGCCTTTAATATGTATGTGATAGTGTTCCTATCCCCAAACACAAGCTGGCAGAGTGTCTGTCCAACCCTCTGCTGTCAAGACTTGCTGCCAGACCTAAACTAAAAAATCTCTGGACATCTCTCAAAATATATGGATTGGAGAAATAGATCAAATATGTTTTCAAAAAACATAAGCTAATAGACCAGATACAGATTAAATATGTTTCTTCTTAGATGACCAGAGTTACAAGTCCATTATACTTGCCATTTCTACTGAAACAATACTGGATACAGTCATATGCAAACAAAAGTTCTATTCAAAGCCTGCTTGACTTGTCTTTGTAAAACCTTAACACACACAAGAGTTTCCATTTGTGTCACCCAACTGATCCCTTCCTTCATGCTGGTGAGATGCTTCTGAGCGACCATGTTCTCTGGCAGGGGCCAGGGATCAATGCATCTTGTTGCCATCAGAGCAGATATGTTTGATTTTATGTCAAAGAAAAGTGTTCGCTCATCATGCTGAAGGCCCAAGTCGGTACAACTTGTTATGGCCGTTCCTGTAACACCACCTTCAGGGGGAGGCTGACCATCTGTTATGGTTTAGTGAGCATATGTAGAGTTGATGGTGCAATCCAACATGTGCATATTTATAATGTGCCAAATCCACACTCTAAAGCATGGTTGAAGCACTCACTACATAATTACCCCAGTTGTAGGATCAGTGTCTCAGTGTCCTCAGCTCCCTGGGGAGTATACAACCCACAGGCCCAAAAGTAAAGGTATCCTAAGGACTAGTAGAAATTGGCCATTTTTAAAGGTTTTGCTATATGTTATCATTATAAGGACTAGTGGACTGAAACTGTTAGTTTCTACCACTGAACCTAGTCTACCTGTGGGGCGCCAGGAGGTTAACAGACACATTAACATCTCATCCTACCAGGTACCCATTCACTGCTGGATGAACAGAGGCACATTTTGAACAAAGTCACTTGCCTCAGGAGATACCACATAAGCTGCATGTGTATCAGTGTGTATTTACAGTTGTCCAGGGTCTAGATTAGACAGCCATTGGCAAACTCCCACGTGACTATGTAATAAATACGGGCCAGGTGACTATATTAATTAATGGAAGATGAAGATCCTGATACCCAAACACTATGCAACGCAACATAGCATATTTACATGTGAGTATCTTCCTCGTCCATTGAATCATGTCACGACATCTGTCTTACTTGCCATATGTTATACGGTTAATGGTTGAATTCTATGTGAAGCACATGTGCAGATTGCTGCCCTCTGCTGTGTCCAGGACCAGAACATGTAGATATGGTTAAGGTTACATCAGGAAATCTAAACACAACATGAACGCAATAAAGGTGAGGTGAAATGGGGTTTAACGTTGCGTCCAAGATTGCACATATATAGCGACGTGCATGTACCTGTGTGTGTTTGTGTGTGTGGCTGCTTGTGCTTGTCCGGAGTGATGCCAATTTATAGTGCTAGCCCACTGAGATACCATGCTGCATTTGAACATGAATACCCCACTCAGACACAGCATACTGACTCCGAGCCGACCAGTCCTTGTTTTAGCCCCTTAATGTTGAGCGCCAGACAGGGTAACAACAAGTACCATCTTTTAATGTCTTTTGGTATGCCGTGGCAGGGGATCAAACCCCGGACCTTCCGCTCTCCGGGCAGACACTCTACCAGTATACCACGGAGAAGGTCAATGCAATAAAGGCAAAGGGGAACAACTCTTTCATAGCTCACCAACTGCCCCTAAGATTTCCCTTAATCCAAGCACTACATGTACAAGACACTACCAGGAATGATATCACTAGTGCTTCACACATTCAGAGCAGGCTCCAGGGAGCCATGGCAGCACAATGGAGCCAGCAGTGAGTTCAGGAACTGGAGGTATTTCTGGATATTATGAGTATACTTAGGATAACAAACACATTGAGTAGCATTCTAGGTTCAGCCGACCCCGTGTTTTGTTTGACTTCAGTGATGCATGCTCATCTCTCTGACAACCTGCAGCATTCAGTGGTGAAAATGCGTATTTCCTAGGAGCAATGAAGTGTTAGAAGTTGCCAGGTCGTACATTTTTCTCAAGTAATCTCAGGCCCAGAAATCTTAAAATTAGGCTGAACCTTATTTGGGGTATAAATCTTTTCTGAAACTCTCCTTATCTCAATGTCAATTCAAAATCCTAGGGTGGCATGTGTGTTAATGTAGGTCTGTCCTCGAACTCAAGGCTTCTTTGGGTTTTCATCAGTAGTACTGAAGTCGTTCATAAATCTGTATGTTTTAGTGACGAGGTTTTGCTGATCCATGTTTATAAGAAATCAAAATAAATATATCTACAAAATATTTTCAATCAAGTAGAAACCAGATTATTTTTCCTGATGATAAATTCAAAATGTATTTTTCTGTGCAATCAATGGCCCATGTGATTTTGGCCAATCAAAAGTTTCATGTGCAATCTAGAATCGCCTGCAGTGGGTGGCCAGTACTCTCCTCCTGGCTGAAACACCTCTTCACTGTTCTGTGTTGTTGATGCATCCAGCTTTCATCAATGGGGATCACCAGCACTGGTTTCTAACTTCATCCTTTTGAAGTGGTGCTACACAAAATGGCTTTAGCTTCAATATGAAAATAATTACATTAAAATTCTTCTCTGTAAGATGTTTGTCTGTTTATTTATGAACACTTTTGCAATTGAAACATTTATGCAGTGCTTTTCCTTTAACATTGACAGATCAGCAATATATTATTTAAATTGACCATGATGACTTTTTTATAGAACTCCCCAATTTTCTCTCTTGTGTATTCAGTTCCTCATGTTGGATTAGGGGACATATGCAGAATGTCATTTTAGAAGTTACCCTATTTGTTTCATGTTTATCGGGGGCACGGGTGGCCCAGTCGTCTAAGGCGTCGCGATTCGCTTTGCAGAGTTACGTCCCTTAGGCACGCCAGAAACCTATGATTGTGGGTTCGAATCCCGGTTCGCCCCGATTATGTTTCTAGGTTTGTCGGCACCATACCCGTGCTTGTGGGTTTCACCGAAGTGGTAAACGTCTGAGACCTGCATCACTTCGGGCTTTCCTCCCACATTAAGCTGACACGCCGTGATATAACTGGAATACTGTTAAAAGTGGCGTTAAACCCAACTCACTCACTGTTTCATGTTTATCAATATTATAAGCAATTGAAGGTTGGTGGTAAGGGGGATGGATGTCAGTGTTGCTTCATGTTATACATGTCAACTTCACAACAATTATCCTTCTTGTTTGTTTGATTTATGTTATATTTGAGAACCGTGGTACAGAACATAAAACATGTAGTCACCATCCTCTTTTATTCAGTGTATTATTTAACCGTTCTATTGTGATAAGTACCCTGGATTCTTTCTGACACTTCTGTATTTCCAGTCCATTTAAAAAAAATCATTTCTGGAAATAGTCGTGCAATTAACTTTGCAGTTTTGAGAGAAATGTTGTTGGATGTTACTGATGAAGAGGCATGGACATCAGCTCCCAAAGGAAGCTGTGGTTGAGATCGGGTACAGGGTACATATCATAATTAGACATAATACACATATTCACAGGAGTTGTCAGTTCATATCCATTCAAGTTTTAAAATTACCTCATGTGTACCTACTCTTGTCTCCCACATCTTGCCATTTTGGTTAGGAAACATGACTAAGATTGGTCCGGTCAAAATAACCAGTCATAATCCAAGTAGCACACTCTCAGGCTACACTAGTGGATTTGAGTTTATGTGTAGTAAAATGTTTACGTTTCTGAATTATTTTTCAGTTTGAAATTTTGACAAGACCCTTGAAGTTATCTACCTCACAGTGAATAATATGTCTGCTGTAGAGCTTTCTGCCACTCACAGGGCAGAGTGGTCCACCATCAAGCAACAGATGGATTTGTGTATGTTGTCACACATGGGGCAGAGTGGTCCACCATCAATCAACAGATGGAGTTGTGTATGTTGTCACACATGGGGCAGAGTGGTCCACCATCAATCAACAGATGGAGTTGTGTATGTTGTCACACATGGGGCAGAGTGGTCCACCATCAATCAACAGATGGAGTTGTGTATGTTGTCACACACGGGGCAGAGTGGTCCACCATCAAGCAACAGATGGAGTTGTGTATGTTGTCACACACAGGGCAGAGTGGTCCACTATCAAGCAACAGATTGAGCTGTGTATGTTGTCACACATGGTGCAGAGTGGTCAACCATCAATCAACAGATGGAGTTGTGTATGTTGTCACACACGGTGCAGAGTGGTCCACCATCAATCAACAGATGGAGTTGTGTATGTTGTCACACACGGGGCAGAGTGGTCCACCATCAAGCAACAGATGGAGTTGTGTATGTTGTCACACACGGGGCAGAGTGGTCCACCATCAAGCAACAGATGGAGTTGTGTATGTTGTCACACACGGTGCAGAGTGGTCCACCATCAAGCAACAGATGGAGTTGTGTATGTTGTCACACACGGGGCAGAGTGGTCCACAATCAAGCAACAGATGGAGTTGTGTATATTGTCACACACGGGGCAGAGTGGTCCACCATCAAGCAACAGATGGAGTTATGTATGTTGACACTCACAGGGCAGAGTGGTCCACTATCAAGCAACAGATGGAGTTGTGTATGTTGTCACACACGGTGCAGAGTGGTCCACCATCAATCAACAGATGGAGTTGTGTATGTTGTCACACATGGGGCAGAGTGGTCCACCATCAATCAACAGATGGAGTTGTGTATGTTGTCACACACGGGGCAGAGTGGTCCACCATCAAGCAACAGATGGAGTTGTGTATGTTGTCACACACGGGGCAGAGTGGTCCACCATCAAGCAACAGATGGAGTTGTGTATGTTGTCACACACGGGGCAGAGTGGTCCACAATCAAGCAACAGATGGAGTTGTGTATATTGTCACACATGGGGCAGAGTGGTCCACCATCAAGCAACAGATGGAGTTATGTATGTTGACACTCACAGGGCAGAGTGGTCCACTATCAAGCAACAGATGGAGTTGTGTATGTTGTCATACACGGGGCAGAGTGGTCCACCATCAAGCAACAGATGGAGTTGTGTATGTTGTCACACACGGGGCAGAGTGGTCCAATATCAAGCAACAGATGGAGTTGTGTATGTTGACACTCACAGGGCAGAGTGGTCAACTATCAAGCAACAGATGGAGTTGTGTATGTTGTCACACACGGGGCAGAGTGGAACACCATCAAGCAACAGATGGAGCTGTGTATGTTGTCACTCACGGGGCAGAGTGGAACACTATCAAGCAACAGATTGAGTTGTGTATGTTGTCACTCACGGGGCAGAGTGGTCCACCATCAAGCAACAGATGGAGTTGTGTATGTTGTCACACACAGGACAGAGTGGTCCACTATCAAGCAACAGATGGAGTTGTGGATGCTCTGTTGTTGCTGCTATTGCTCTTCATCATTAGCCGTTGTCCCTGAGAGGATACTGATGAGAAGCATGTGGTACATGCATGGATGCTGCCATGGATAGATACATGGCAACCACTCACTCATCATGCAGGTGGAGAAGACAGAAGATGTTGTGTCTGTGTGTGTACAGATCAAGTTTTGTGTGACCCTTCCTCAAGTTTAAACCATTTTTTAACCAAACCATTGTGATGAATACTGAATAAAAGAAAGCAGGGAATGTGGTTTGATAATATAAGTTGTAGCACTGTCCCGAGGTGTATGTGTGGTTTATGCATCCAAATTTCGGTTTTGTACCAAGAGCCACAGTCATAAAACCACACATGTACCCCAAATTGCTAAAAGAAGTTTATCTTGCTGACATGTTTCAGTTTGCCATTGTAAAAGTATTAAAACAGATTGAAAATCAGCTTTTCGATTGGACAAGGTTAACTTGTGCATTGTCATGGACTCACAGACTCCTAAACAACATGCAGCTTTTTCTTCGTAGGATGGTAGAAGAGATATATTCTCCCACTCAGGAATCCATGTGCAGCCTGTTTTCTTCATGGTGGGGTATAAGGGATTTATTCTCCCACTCTGAAATTTGTATCCCTCCCAGGCGGGATACACAGTATTTTATCTAGATCAATTGGACCAATCTGATTTCAAAATTCTGACAAGGAGGTGCTATAACTGCTTTTGTTGACTATACCAGAACAGTGACTCTGTCAGTTGCTGGTCGACTTGTTGATGAGAGTTGAAACATTTATTGGGTCTGTTCTGAATCTGAAGGCACAGTTTAGCAGGTTGTCAAGTTGCTTTGCAGTGTTGTGCCCTACCAGGATCCGCACTACCATTGGTTATTGTTGGTGTGTTGCTCCATACCTGTACATCTGGGTGTTGAAACACTCAATGATTTCTCCAAGTTCTTCTCATCATCTGACATGAATTTCTGGTTTAAACAGTGTTAAACCTCACTCACTCACTCACTCACTCACTCACTCACTCAC